TTCTTATACTCCGAAAAATACGGTAGTTTTATTGTGTAAGATAAACTTAGAGAAATTGGGGGAATAGAATCATGCAGTAGGTCTTTCCACTAGGTAAAGAAACAACGCAGTGTATCTGATGTCATGTTTAATGGTTGCAAACCAGCAACCTAGATGCATGTAAGACTATGAAAATGGAATAGGTCCATGCTACCTGAGGAACCATCTCATCCAGTGGTGGGATTCAAATAATTTAACAACAGGTTCTGTGGGCATGGTGAGGTGGGCGTGGCTGGGTGGCCATGTGACTGGGTGGGCATGGCCATCTCAATGTCAATCACATCAAGGGTGCCTCACCTGGCTCCTCCCCTCCCAGCCATTCCTTGTCACACCCAGCCGCAACGTATCTAGTGTTCTGCAAAAAGGTTGTTCACCTTTTTTCGACTTTATTATTTACATAATAGATAATGCACCAGATTTGGGGGGTGGGGCAGTGGGGAGTTCCGATAGTCAGTACTGCCAGTTTGATGCTTGATGCAAGCTGTGCATGCATGCGCAGTGCAATAAAATTGCTATGCGCAGAAGAAAAAAATCAAGATTTGATTTTATGGCGTTACCCAGAGAACCGGTTTGGGGACGTGGCAGGCCTGGGTCACTGCCGGTTCCAGCAATCTGGGTCACCAAACCACTACCAGTTCGGCCAAATTGGGCCGAACCTGTAGGAACCCACCACTGGGATGGGGAGAATATGTAGACTAAAGAAAATAAAGTGTATGTTAGGTTGAAGGGACAGGGTGGCTCAGTGGCTAAGACGCTGACCTTGTCGATCAGAAAGGTCGGCAGTTTGGCGGTTCTAATCCCCAGCGCCATGTAATGGAGTGAGCTCCCGTTACTTGTCCCAGCTTCTGCCAACCTTGCAGTTCAAAAGAACATAAAAATGCAAGTAGAAAAATAGGAACCACTTTGGTGGGAAGGTAACAGCGTTCCGTGCTCCTTCTGCGTTTAGTCATGCTGGCCACATGACCATGGAGATGACTTCAGACAGGGCTGGCTCTTCAGCTTTGAAACATAGATGAGCACCGTCCCCTAGAGTCGGGAACGACTAGCACATATGTGTGAGGGAAACCTTTACCTTACGTTGGGTTGGGTTTTACACCCCCCCCCCCCCAAATGTCTAATTTTGCAGTGTGGATTGAAAGCAAGTAGATGTTCAAAACAAGAACTACACTGGAGACCACAATAAAAGAAGATCCATTGGCCTGACTCAGTTCATAAAATAAATAAATGCCAAAATCAATAAACGCACAGGGGGCAAGCAGGAAATGCTGTAGAGCAGATAGAGGAACTAAGGGCAGAGAAGGGCAAAGAAGCCACTTTGGGGGAGATTGCAGAGAGTGAATAAAAGGTTATTGGTAGATAGATAGAAAGCCATTCTCCCTGTGGTCTCTTGTGCATGTGATTAAGGACGCCGATGGTTTTATTATGCAGGCCCCTCTTGCTGTAATGAATAGAAGGAACTATTGTAAGCACCCCTTATTCACAAAACAGTTCTATTCCATAATATGAGAGCCTTCTACAATAATCTGATAACTGTAAATCCCACCCAATATTACCATCTGCTTATATTTAATTAAGGACTGGTTGTCTGAACAGCGCAGGCAAGAATTCCCAGCGGGTGGGAGGTTCTGGGAGATGCATTCAGAAATCTCTAAATCTGTCAGCCTGCTCTTATTTCGTCTGTCCTTTTCTGCGAATGCAATTATGAGAGCAAACAGGACGGCTGCTCTCGGGTCCCAGACGGGCCAGCCTCCTTTTGCTGATAAGGCTAATTGGGCAAGCGATAATTAAATGAGGATTCCAACATGCAGTCAGACTTAATTGTCTGATGCTTTGGCATTTTTTTGCTGGAGTTATGATTTCAACAAAAATGAGAGGGAGATTTTCCAGGAAGAACTTTTTAACATGGAACCATTACATCTCCTTCTCTGGCGACACCAGGGGTGGGTTTCAACCGGTTTGCGGCGGTCCCCGCGAACCGGTTGGTCAGCGAACCCGGAAGTTACTTACTTCCGGGAACGGCNCTATCTGAGGGGTATAAAATTTGACCCCCCAGCCTAAGCCAGTGTTAATCCATTCATTTCTGCACATTCTAATATTTTTTTAATCACGTTCTCATCTCTAGCGATCTCTCCACTTTTCCAATACAATTCTAGCTGCAGTTATTATGTGAATAATCAAAGATACATTTTCTTTACTGTAGGTTTCTGGTAAAATCCCCAACAAGAATAATTCTGGTTTAAAATCATTATGTTGTTATATCATCTGCCAATTTGTTTTGTTTAGACCTAAAACTTTAAAAAGCTTTCATCATCTCAGTCTTCCTCAAGCTCAGTTCCTGTAGGTTGATGACTGGCAGGATGATTTGGGGAGTTGAAGGCATCAGGCTAGAAACCAGGAGATTGTGAGTTCTAGTCTCACCTTAGGCATGAAAGCCAGCTTGGTGACTGAGCGAGTCCCCAGGAGACAGTGAGTTCTAGTCTAACCTTAGCCAGGAAAGCCAGCTGGTGACTGTGAGCCAATCACCAGGAGATGGTGAGTTCTAGTCCTGCCTTAGGCATGGAAGCCGGATGAGTGACTTTGGAACACTCCCTCAATCTCAGTTCAATCCACCTCACAGGGCTGTTGTTGTGGGGAAAACAGGAGGAGGAAGTTCACTGCCTTGAGTTACTGATAAACTAATAAAGGCAGGATAAAACTTAAAAAAATGAATGAAGGAACGAATGAATGAATGTAGCCATTAGGAATACATAGAAAGCTGCCTTGCATTTTGAGAGATTGTTCATCCACCTGGCCCAATACTATCTACTTATCCAGTTTTGTCTCCCACACCTTTTGAAATATGCGGGGCTGTAACCTCCCAGAATTCCCAGCCCACGGGGATTGCAACTCATCTGGATAGAATCAGATTGAGGAAGACTGAATTTGAGGCATAAATCACCTTGGGGTCTAGAATAGAATAGACAGAACAGAACAGAATATAATACAATAGCAGAGTTGGAAGGGACCTTGGAGGTCTTCTAGTCCAGCCCCCTGCCTAGGCAGGAAACCCTACACCACTTCAGACAAATGGCTGTCCAACATCTTCTTAAAAACTTCCAGTGTTGGGGNGCATGGCACATACAGCGCCTGCGCGATTCTCCGCAAGCAGCTGGATGGCACATACAGCACCTGCGCGAGTCTCCGCGAGCAGCTGGAGCATTGCGCAGGCACTAAGACACATGTGTGAACTGTGCACGTGTACGAGGACGCCACTGGCCCTGTTCCAACCGAACTGGTTGGAACAGGATTAGCAACCCACCCCTAGGCAACACTGTACTTCTAACCAGAGCATAGAAAGCATTTGCTAGACCAATTCTCGAAAACAGCTCATCTGTCTGGAACCCACACTGCATATTGGACATTAATACAATTGAGCGAGTCCAGAGGTATTTCACGAGAAGAGTCCTCCGCTCCTCTGCTCACCAGGCTTGAAATTTTGAACTTAGACAACTTAGAACTACACAACCTTCAGTCTGACCTAAGCATAGTACATAAAATTATCTGCTACAAAGTCCTACCTGTCAGTGACTACTTCAGCTTCAACCACAACAATACACGAGCGCATAATAGATAGAAATTCAAGGTAAACCGCTCCAAACTCGATTGTAGAAAATATGATTTCAGCAACAGAGTGGTCAATGCCTGGAATGTGTTACCTGATTCAGTGGTTTCTTCCCCAAACCCCCAAAACTTTAACTTTAGACTGTCTACTGTCAATCTCACCTCATTCCTAAAAGGTCTGTAAGGGGTATGCATAAGCGCACCAACGTGCCTACCGTCCCTGTCCTAATAACCCCATTTGGCACTGTGGCAGCATACTGGTTGCAGCAGGATCCGGAACCCATCACTGGACTGCACCCACCCACACTGACAGGCAAGACACCAGGATATAAACTGACAGCAAACATCACTCCTTGCTAGCACTGATGATGTTATCTAATTTGGGGTAATGAAATCTCTGCAAGAAAGCGTCAGCTCAGAGAGCACCAAGGAACCCACTCAGGGGTGGGATTCTACCAGTTCAGACAAGTTCAGGTGAATCGGTAGCTCCGATGATCAGCTGACAGTGAACCGGTTCGCTCTGACGATCAGTTGGGCCTGCCCATCCGCCCCTGTGCTATACTGACCTACGTCTTCTCAGCTGCTTTGTGCGGCAGAGTGTTTTGCTGCGCCTCATCTGTGATACTCCCCAGCAGTAACGCAGAAGATAAGTATTCTTAACACCGCACCCGCAAAGCACTCAATCACCAAACCAGTTGTTAAACTGGCAGGATCCCACCACTGACCCTTCTCTATTAGTTCTCAAAAGTGCCCTCCAGTATGAAGAAAGGTATATAGAGCAGTGGTGAAATTCAATTTGATACTACCGGTTCTGTGGGTGTGGCATGCTGGACGTGGCAGGGGAAGGATACTGCAAAATCCCCATTCCTGGGGGAAGGATACTACAAAATCCCCATTCCTGGGGGGAGGATACTGCAAAATCCCTATTTCCTCCCCTTTCCTGGGGGAAGGATACTGCAAAATCCCCATTCCCTCACCATTCCTGGGGGAAGGATACTGCAAAATCCCCATTCCCTCACCATTCCTGGGGGAAGGATACTGCAAAATCCCCATTCCCTCCCGATTCTTGGGGGAAGAATCTCTATTCCCTCCCCTTTCCTGGGGGAAGGATACTGCAAAATCCCTATTCCCTCTCTACTTTGGGGCCAGCCAGAGGTGATATTTGCTAGTTCTCCAAACTACTCAAAATTTCCGCTACGGTTCTCCCGAACCTGCTGAATTTCACCCCTGGTATAGAGTCCTTGGTGCTCTCTGAGCTTGGTTGTTTGCTTGCAGATGTTTCATTACCGAACTAGGTAACATTAGTGGTACAAGTACAGGCAGCAAACCTCACACTCTTTCATGCTGATTTTGTTACCTAGTTCAGTAATTAATCAGTGAGCAGGAACTCAAATTTATTACACTTTTCCAGAGGGGAGCCCTGATATCCCGAGCCAAGGAATATCCAAGGAAGCAGATCAGTTTTTCACTGTCATCCTAAAGGCCTGCAGGACTCAGGCCAATTATATGTCTTGGGTAGATCATTCCAGGAAACAGGTACCTGAAAAGGCATGACTCCCAGGTCCCATAGGATTACTGCATAGGTAGTCCTTGTTTTCCAACCCTTTGTTTTGTGCCCATTTAAAGTTACAGCAATACTGAAAAAAGTAACCAATGACTGGTTTCCAAACTTAGGACCCTTGCAGCATCTCCATGGCCACGTGATCAAAATTCAGGCACTTCACC